TGAAGCCCAGAGAGGTGAAGTGACCTGCCCGAAGTCATACCGAGCCAGTGACAGAGCTGGAGCTACAAGTCAGGTCTCTTGACTCTTGTACTCACTAATAATATAGTCTGGTCACTCCCCTAAAAGGTTGACGTGCACAATTCTGTTACCAATTTACTTTGCTGTCAGTAATGCCACAGAGATCTCCAATTTCATACATATAGCTTATTGGTCAAATTATAGGATTCAGTTAATAACTGCATTAATTTAATGCATTTCTTCTGAGAGACCTTGGTCATTAAGTCTCCCACTACTAAGAAAGTTGACCAAGTTTCCAAGATTCCTATATGGTTTGACTCTCTCTACTTATATATTATAGACATGTAAAAATCAATCTTATTTACTCTTGGGTTAAGAACCACATGTTGAAAAATCTGTGAGACATCATGGAATTTAAGAGAAACAAAGCTACCTTTTTGCCAGAGTACTTATTGTTCTCTGGCCTTTTCTAAATGCACAGTTTCAACTATCTGACAGTGAAGTTTACTTATATGATAGATTTTTCAAACTCAACTTTTAAGATCTAAAATATTTAAAAACACTTCAGGCAAATGGTAATTAATCTTCTCCATAGACATCCCAAGTACCATACATACATTTTCAGCATGGATATTTATATATAGTTGCTTCTAGGTGAATTTTAAAAATTCATTTAGGAGATGAGATTAAATATATCCTGTAGTGGGAGTACTAATAATTCAAGGAGCAGGGACAAAGATTAATGCCGAATTAGAATCTTAACTCATGTGCTTTTAATAGCTCATTCGATTTGCTTCAATTCTAAAGAATGAGAATGAATGAAACAGGCCACCTAGATACAAATTCTAACCCCATCCCCCCTTTTCAATGTAAGAGCTTTCTAATAGCAAGAGTTGTCCAACAACAGAATGAACTGTCGTGTGAAGGAGTCAGTTCATTACTACAAGATTTCAAACTAAGGCTAAAACACAATCTGTCTGGAATTCTTAAAAGGATTGCTGCATTGAGACATAGATTAAAAGACTTCTAAAATGCTTTACATTCTAAGATTCTATGATTCCAATATTGTCTTTTTCTCCCACTTTTATAGTACAGAGGTCCTTTCCTATGTGTATTTATAGTCATATTATCTTAGACTGCCTTGTATCATTATTATTTTTCTACTTATGTTATCTGCTTGAAGATAGGGATGGTATTTCACTCATCTTCATATATCCTACCATTTTAAGTATAGTTTCCTGTATACAGAAAGTATTCATTAGATACTTATTGAATATACTTGAAATTATATGCTTGACTGGTTGATTTAGTCATTATAAATTTTAATAACCATATTTTTTTTCCTGATCTGAGAATCTAACTTCTTACTGCAGTGAGTTTTCATGTTAGGATGAATTTGGAGTGCTGCTCTTTTATAAGGTTATAAGTAAAACAGGAATATTTGATTGAACATGAACACATATTTAAGACAAAAATTATGATTTAAAAATATTTGAAAAACATATTTCCTCTTTCACTTATCGTTTTATTGACAATGTGAAAACTAGTGCATATATATACACACATGCATACATATGTAATATATTTATAAGTATATTTATAATATTTATTATATATTTTAATATATATTGAAATATTTAAATATATATTTATATATAATACATTTTATAATATATAAGAGGAAGACATACCAACACATATACAATATAGTCATATTTTTTTAAGATGGGTTATAAAATAGATTATTTAAAAAACTAATTTAATAAAAATGAATCAAACAAAATAAAAATTCCAAAATTATCCTGTTGTGAGTTGGATTGTGTCCTCAAAAAGATAATGTTGAAGTCCTTACAACCAGTACCCATGAATGTGACCTTGTCTGGAAATAGGGTCTTTGCAGATGTAATCAAGTTAAGATGAAGTCATACTGGATTATGGTGGGCCCCAAATCCAATGACTGGTGTCTTCATAAGAAGGCCATGTGAAAACACAGGGACAGAGGGAGAAACCTATGTGCTGATAGAGATAGACATTGGAGTGATGTGTCTGCAAGGCAAAGATTTCCAGAACCACCAGAAGCTAGGAGAGAGACATTAACAGATTCTCCATCACAGCCTCCAGAAGGAACCACCTCTGCTGACACCTTGATCTTGGACTTTTAGCCTCCAGAACTGTGAGATAATCCATTTCTATTGTTTTAGGCTACCCAGTTTGTGGTACTTTGTTACGGCAGCCCTAGGAAACTAATACATGTCTTGCACTTTGGAAAACTGACATGACAATTCCTTGACATGTTTAGGATGACAAAATATAGCCTTACCATAATTTTAAAAAATCAACCACAAAATATCATGTTAGAGTTAGAATTGCTTTGGCCTGAAAAACAATAAATGGAAAATCATTTAAGAAATGGATCTTCCCAATACACAGGCTGAAAAGGCAACACAATGGAAAATCAACTACAAAATCCTTAATTATGAGCATAATATAGTGAGTTTTGACATCCTAGGGTAGAACTAAAACAATAAAAACTAACTGAATAGAGTGAAAGAAATGGTCTGAGTTGAGAAAAGTATATTGAGATAGTCAAGATTACCAAGATTTATTGATAAAAGTTCCTTATACCACTGAGTAACAGTCTCACACCCATTTACTTTCTCCATCCTTAGTCTTTGTACTTGAACATTCTGCAAAACTCTTTTTTTGCTTAAGTGTCAAAAGTGCATGACGACCTTTTTGTCTGTCAATGATCTACAATTTCAGCAAGGAACATCACTGCAATCACACCTCATTCCATGAGGGCCCCCTTATATGTTCACAATTGGTCCACTAAAGGTCTGGCAAATAAAGAAGCTCAGTAACAAAGGTAATATTGATTGTTCACTTGTCCTTAGCCAATTTGTAAAATCCTGTCCCAGCTTCAGGAGACCATCATGATCCCAATCATCTCATAAATATTCAGTTTCACTTATTCACAGGTGAATAGAATCTTCTCCTACATATATGTCTATTCTAATCAATTCCACGGGGGCCATTGTCAAAAAATTCTTGGTGTCACAGTCTTTTCCCCATGTGGGGCATACCTACATCAGATTTCCATCATTCTGATTATTTCCAATGACAAGGAAAAACTTTTTATAAATATTTTAGGTAACCATTCCTATTTCATTAGCTGAGGAAATTTAAACCAATTCTCAACTTCATTTCAGGAGGATACATTTTTATTTTTCAAAGAGCTAATATGACCTCCAATTACTTAAAGCACTCACTTTAGATTTAAAATTCTTAACACATGATTTTTTTAATTAAAGGAAATTCTTAAGACTTTTGAATAGAAAATTGGAGTTTAAACAAACATTTATAGCCCTTAGGGAACAACTAGAAGCACACCATTCTTGCAGAAAAGCCCTAATATATTAAGCCTGTATTTAATCAAATCAGTAGTCATGATGATGAATAAAAGGTAATTCATAGAAATGTAAAAGACCACAATTTATCGACATTGTCTTTTTTCCACACTTAATTAGAATACAAAATTAATCAGGGATAATCATGTTAAGTACAAATTGAGTGAAGCCCCAATTACATATTATTTTCTTGCTATTCAATTAGCTTTTATTCATGTTGCTTCCCCTACCTATTCCTTCCCAACAAATTAAACATCCAAGGATTCATGTGCAAAATAGGCAATCCTTGGATCAGTATGGTATAACTAGCTTAGTTTTAAAAACTGCTTTTGATAGGTGATTTTTCCCTACCAAGTAGAAACTAGCAATTACTGAAAATATCATTAAAAACTAGCATGGACATTCAGCACATAATTTAAAAAATCATTTTACCTGTTGATTAATGGAACAATTATATTTCATCAGAACTTATAATTTTATTTATTTATTCACATAAATAAATAGAGCTCTCAATTATTTTTTAAAAAGTCAAGTTGCAGCATATTTCTATACATTAGCAGCTTGAAGATATATGATTGTATTTTCAACATAGTTCTTATTTGGAAAACATCTTTGAAAATATTACTACATTGCTTTTAAGGGCATACACAAGAATTACACATGCAAGTTTTGCAGATAAATAGAATTTTAGGAAATTGAGAAAAAAAGATACATAGGAAATAGTCTGAATTATACCATAAAATTCTGTTACTGCTCCAACGTGTGTGTGTGTGTGTGCGTGCGCGCGTGTGTGTGAAAGAGAGACAGAGAGCACGTGTGTTTCTCCACTGGTGAGAAAGTCTTGGGATGGGTGAATCACTTAGTTGAAAGTACATCAACTAGAATAAATAGAGAACCAGAATCACAAGGTGACACAGGAGAGTTTGTGACAGTGCTGATTTTAGCTAGTGAATTACAAGAAGATCCTGCACTGCTGTTGTTTCCATCAAGAGCATCTGAAGATAGACTAGGAGAAGAAAATGTAACCCACTGATAACAGAATTCAAGAGATCTCTGTGAACTCTGCTTTGTCTACAAATGAATGCAAAATACATGAAGCAAAGAACTGGCACTAGTTACAAGAGCAGTTTCACAAGAGCAGTAAACCAAAACCAACAGTAACAATAAATAGAAATCCATTCACTGTATTTCCCATTTTGATTATTAAAACATGCTTTCCTGGTACTCTTTTCAATAATACGCTCAGCCTAACAAAGCACACAAAAATCCAAGGTAGAAAAGATGGGAAGAAGATGACTATTTTCCAAGTTTGCATTTTTATGTATTTCTCTAATACCTCTTAATGTAATGCCAAAATCCCACTTCTAAAAACGTACCTGCCATATATCAATGTCACACATAAATGTTAGGAAGAAGAACTAAAGTTAATAGTATCCATTTCAGATATTAATTCTATAAGTTCTAAAAATATTTAATAATATACCATACCTCTGAGTATATATAATAGCCAAAGTAGACTTAAAAACCAAGTGAAAAATGGCCAATAAATGTTTAAAATCTCATGTTAATACTCACCAGACATTCATATCAGACTGTTGGGTAGTATCAGAAGAAAGCATGTTCGCTGGGCCTTGGAAAAATCTCTTTGGCTGGTCTTCAAACACCATTTCACCTGTGACAAAAAAGCAGATCAAGGTAGATATGTTTTATTTAACATGTTTATTATGCTTTTAATTGCAAAAGTAAAACTTGTTCATTGCAATTAATTTATAAAATACAAAAAAACACAGGAAAAATTTTATATCACCATTATCCAGGGATAACCACTTTTCAGTAATTCCTGAATATATGTGTGTATACATGATTGTTTTTAAACAAAATTGGATTCGTACTATATATAATACCAATATGTAATATACTTTTTGGCTTTTAATGATTATAATTCTCATATTATTTACTAAGTTTTACAACATAATTTTATATAGCTATGTAGTAAGGCTGTACCATAATTTAATCTCATTTGTTAATTTTTTTTCTTTTTGCTGAGGAAGATTGGCCCTGGGCTAACATCCATGCCCATCTTCCTCTACTTTATATGGGACGCCACCACAGCATGGCTTGACAAGTGGTGCGATGGTCTGCACCCGGGATCCGAACCTGTGAACCCCGGGCCGCCAAAGCAGAGCACGCGAACTTAACCAGCACACCACCGGGCCGGCCCCCTCATTGTTATTTTAAACCTTTAAGTTGTTGCTATCTTTATTTTGCTAAACATATACAATGAACTAAGTAGATCAATTCTTTTATAGCATACAATGAACAACATAAATATATTTTTAAAGATTAAGGAGAAATATCTAATCTCAAAAAACTGCATTGTTATAATCTTCACCTCGAAGTAAATGTTAAAATCTGCACAATGTTACACATTCATGTAATAATTATGTCTGGATGTGAGAAAAACTGATGTTAAGCCTATAACTTCTGGGGTGGTATATATTCTAATGATAAAACACTAAGGCCATCTACTCATTAAAAAATATCCCTAGAATAGAGATTCCACAGACCTTCCTTAGGAGTATAATTATGGCTCATAAAGCTCAAAAGAGGTCTAGGTATCCTATCCCATGCCAGATTACACTTACACCATTATGGAAAAACTACTCATCTCTCCTTTTTGGTCTAAATTAAAAACAAGACAAATCAAAACAAATTCATCATAGAAGAAAATTAAAATTTTCTTTGCTAAAACCATTATTACTTGTAAAACAATATTTACAGCCACCCAATTTCTGCAGGTTTCTCAGAATTCCCACTTGAAGTCTTATTTGCTCTTGCTTCTTCCTAATGGAAGTAACGTAACTGCTGCTTACCACCATAAAATATGCCTTCATATGCTTGGAGACTAATCTCTATCTCACACTTTCCTCTGCTTGACAGAGTCTTCATTCTCTTCTGTTTTCCCCCCCAGGACCTCCTTTTGATTTTTCATGCCATCTTTCCCCACATTTCACTTGTATTAGTGAGCTCCAAATAGGACATAGTTTGCTGTTTCCCAAATAAATATTCATATTCCCAAATACATAAATAAAATTTAATTTCTTTAATCTGTTATTGCATCTGAAAGGCCAGATGAATTTTGACTAAATTTGTGCAGGCTATGTTTGGAAGGGTTTGACTTAAAATATAGACTATGTGGTACATATAGAATTTGCTTTGGAGTTCTTAGGGACACCTCAAAGAAATGAGGCAGTCATCCTCCAGAGCAGTTGCAAACCAGGTATAAGAGGCTTGTGTGAGACACACCATGTCCCCCAAGACAGTTGGCAGAAACCAAGTCTATTATGTCAAAATTGGAATACAAAAACAATTTTTTGAATCATAAATTCTAAGAAAATTCCAGGCATTTTCAAAGTCATAAAACATTTTATGTGTAAATGTCTTAAAAGGAGAATCATTTTAATTTAGTAAAACACTATCTTCAAATTAAGCATATTTTATTTTAAATACTCAAATGACCCAACTTCCTAAAAGCTCTTCAACTGTTCATATATTTGAATGTCTTTTCAACACTAGCCAAACTTCACAGCACAGGCAAAAGACCCGTAAGCTAGGTCATTGATCCATCGTTATAAAACAATATGGTTAGTTTGGAAAAGAGTGTTTTCCGGAATTCATCTAGTCTTAGTCCTAGAATATAATAAGTACATGCTGAATTAGGTGTGCTGTTAGGAAGATTGCCATTAATTAATCCAAAATACATGGAACATTGAAATACATTTCAATTTCTTTCCCTATAGTTTTGCTCTCCTACTCCTTTTCCTTTCCCTCCTCTCCTCCCTCCTTTTCTTCTTATTCTTTCCCATCTCAATGGATTTTTCCCAAATACACATTATTAAAGTTGAATATCCTTCCATATTTATCATTTTTTCCTCCCTATTATAGTTAAACTTTGTACTAAGCCTATAATTCAGTAGTGGTATTAACAAAAAAGGAAGAACATAGCTTAGTGAGGCATGGTTGAGAAATGGGATCCAGGACTGTGGGAGTTTAAAAAAAAACACTTCTGTTCTTTCCACTGCCCTTTTATTACTGAGTAGGTGGGTCATTTTCCATATATTTAACCAAAAATAACCCTCATAAAGAAGTGAAACATCAAAGAACATACATCTTAGCATATATTTTTAGTGTTGTAAGTGGATCTAATTTGTGTCAACTTATTCATATGACATCAACATGTAAGTGCGGCAGTGGGCCAGGGCAGGGGTTGAGATTCAGCAGAATATTTGATGAGTGACTCACTCTGTTCATTTTTTCATTCCCCACCTTGTTTCAGAAAGTGTTTAAGGCAGCTAGCTTGGTGAATTATACTTATACAATTAAAATCATAATAGTTGACTAAACCCAAATTATATTTCTCAATTCACATTTATGTAGCACTTTATAGCTTTCAGAATGTTTTTACATATAGTTCCGTTTGAGTAAAACAAAAGGCCTCTAGTAACTTACTAAATATATTTCAAATAAATAAATCCTTTAAAAATGGATTTTTATATAACACTTGATTTTATATGATATTTTATAAAAATAATTCAAAGTTATATTTATTTCTGCTGGTAGATAAAAATACCTTTTCTTTTTAATGGTCCAAGAATACTTGGTCTAATAATGTTGGTGGGGCTTTGACTTCTCCTTCTAAAATGAAATTATAACAATCATTACAAGAAAATACTTGAACAAAACCAGCTATGACTATTTCATTATAATAGATCTAAGGACACACATTTTAAAAGAGGACTCTGTGTGGTATCCCATAGCACACCCTTTTATTGCTTTTCTCTAAATCTAGGTAAAAAAGGAATGCCTCAGGACAGCGAACTGTCTTGTAATTTATAAGGATTCAGGATTTTTCCAAGTTGTGGGGAAAAAAGCTAGAAGGACCTGCAGTCCTGACTGTGACTTGCCTTGAATCAAGGTGAGAATTATGGGTGAACGAGCAGGTATGGTTGTTTCAAGTTTGAGAGTTAGCTCTGATGCTTACCAACAAGCTTGGTCAGGGAAGACTATGTTGAAACCAGGGTCAATGAATTACTGATTCTTCATAGGTTCACATGTTCTCATATGTTCTTTATTCTTTATTCTTTTCAATATACAAAATGATAAACCAAAACAATGACATTTAATTTAGCTAAAAAGACATTATTTCTTTGGTTGTCACAGAACCTGGAGCTATAATTTCTTTTAATTTTCTAAAATTCTCATTTTATAAGCAATTCGGTAGTTTCATACAACATAAACTTACATTGTAAATTGTTCCATAGGACTAGGACCAGGAATCGGAGGTAAACCGGTGCAACTCACACAAGTTTGAAATGATATAGAAGAACTTTGCTGAAACCAAATTGGAACAGAGGTTTTAAAACGACCACTTTTCTCTGAAAGCAGATCGGTGGTTTCCTAGGGTAGGCGGGGGTGGGGGGAAGGAAATCGAGTGCAAAAGATAGCAAGGAAATTTAGAGTGTGGGAACTGTTCTATATCCTGATTATGGATACGGTTACAGGACTGTACCCAATTACCAAGATTAAACAAATCATATGCTTAAAAGTTGGTGACTTTTGTTATATGTAAATAATAGTTAAAGAAATGAAAAGGAAAGCAAAATTGTCACTTAGAATCAGATATCCTATAGCAAAATATATCCGCCAAGAGATTTGGGTGGTGAAACATTAATGTTTCATAAATATTTCAAGGGACACAGACTTTTAGGCACTCCTTTCTTACCTTCTCAATCTCCATAGTGGGAGAAGCTGCTGAGGATACTGGAATTAAGTCAATGCACTTTGAAGAAGATGGTTTCTCTAAGTTTCTGGCACTCTGTGTAAGCAGAAAACAGTGTACAATTGTGGCACCAATTGCTTACCTATCAAATATTTAGGGAGATAGCTGTTAGGTGGGGAAGAGAATCCTTACTGAGTCAGTAGTTGTCCATGGTGAGGAGCTCTCACTATCCTAAAGCAAGCAGGGAACCCAAGATTCACTTTCATGAGCAAAGGCACCCTTTGCCTTTTAGGAAAGAGAGCTACATGGCAGGTGAGGGGCTTCCCTAGTGCTCCAAAAAGACCTAGAATGTGAGTACTCAATATTGAGCAACATCGACTATATACATAAATCCTAAATTTAAATTTTTCTCCTTGGGTTTAACCTGTGCTTGGTTATTGAAAACTATAATACTGTGTTCAGGAAAGGATAAAAAAGGATTTGGTTAGAACTAAGATACAAATGGAACAGCAAAAATAACTAAGCTATAAAAAATGTTTACAGGTTTTATGTAGACAAAATCAGTACTGCATAATTCAGGATTTTAAAATATGCTTTTTTCTTTTCCAACTAAAGTTATATTACACGGTCCCTTCCTCCTCCTAACACACTCGCATATTCACTTACCCAGTCACTCACTCACTCACGCCAACACCTAAAGCAATTAGAACTGGGTCAGTTAAGGGAATCCAAAGCATCTGTAAATCGTATTAGCACAAAAACATGAAAAGGGACAGTCTCCAGTGGTTATCTACTCAGCCTTCAGGACCTACTCCTAAATCAGGGATAGATGTCCATCTAAGGCATTCGGGGCCCAAAGGAAAATAAGATGTCACTCCTTCTGCTGATGACCCATCTCCTTAACTAATAATTTCCAAATCTGGGAATTGACATCTAACCTACTCTCTTCTACTCAAATTTCAGCTCAATTCTTATTCTGTCATTATCTGAAATGTCCATGGAAAAGAACCCTAAATATCATTCACTACCACAACTAAGTAATCATAATATGTACAAAAACATTAAAAATGTTAGCAAGGGCTGTAACTAAGTTCTAAATATGTTTAAATTAAAGGTTATATGTTAAAATGTTAGTGGGAGTATACATGTCACAGGCATAAAAATGCAGTATTTTCCCAACAAATCCATTGTCTGTGGTTTAAAACTCTAATATACAGTTAATAAAGTATATAGAAGAGAGTGGAATCATTTATTGTTTTGTCATCTAAGCAATTTAACTAGCACAACTGAATTTTTTTAAGACCCACTAGAACAGAGAGGAAGCTGGTCCACAATGACGGTTTTGTATCAGACAACTATTTACTTTGAACCCGACTTTCAAACAATGTTAGTTATTTTTATGGGTAAATCATAAACTGCTTCTTAAAAGCAATCAAAAATTATTTATGTAGCATATGTAATTTTAGTTTCAAAAGATTGAGTTTAGATTTCTAGAAATTACAGCAAAACTAGGTAGCACCAACTCTGAAAATCAGTAACAATTTCAAATTTTCTACAAAATTGAGTGTTAATACCATACCAGGTTCAAACTTTGTTCCCAAGGTTGATCTATCTGTTTTGCAGTTGGTACCTCCCTACAAAAGAAAAGACATCAGTATTGCAGTTTGCCTATCTAAATGGAAAAATGTGACTGAATATACAAATGATCAGAATAGTAACTCAAAGTACAGTACTCACCGTTTATGCATTGCTTCTCTATTTACTAAATTCATGCCTTCCTCCTGAAAGGTGAGAACATGAGAATAAACTGAATATGAGTTCCTATGGTTTTACAAAGTGATTTCGTTTCGCTGCACCTTTAGTATTATTCCCTGGGCTACAGAAGAGCTAGAGTACAAACGAATTTCTAACAAGTGTCTGGTTCTCTGGTTTTCACTGTTGCACCTACCACACAAAGATCTATTACTTACGCATTACAGTATAACTGATATGCAGGAACTGATTAGATGAAAAACTTTGTACATTTCTTCATTCAAAAGAGAAAACATCAAACATTTAATATTATACTATTTTTCCTACCATTAAACTAGGATATTAATAAATATTACTCACAGTCAAAAATAAACTAAATGTCTATTAGTGTGGGTTTGCTTAAGTAAATGATGGTACAATCATGATTTAAATCTAGTCATTGACACTGAAAAACATGTATTACATAGTAAGTAGGAAAAAAGATGATACTATTTAGTAAAATTGTAAACGAGAGGTATTCAGAGGGATGTTCACCAAAAAGTTAACAGTACTTATCAATGAGTAGTGAGATTGGGGGTAATTTGTTCTTTCTTTATTTGTACTTTACCATATTGTTTGACCTTTTTATAATATTCAAGTATCATTTTTCACATAAATAGTTATTTTTAAAAATAACCCACATATGGAAAGACATCCCATGTTTGTGGATTAAAAGACTTAATATCGTTAAAATGGCAATACTACCCAAAGTGATCAACAGGTGCAATGCAACCTCTATCAAAATCCCAATGGAATTGTTTGCAGAAATGGAAAAATCCATTCTAAAATTCATATGGAATCTCAAGGGGCCCCAAATAGCCAAAACAATCTTGCAAAAGAAGAATAAACTTGGAGGACTCACACTTCCTGCTTTCAAAACATACTACAAAGCTACAGTGATCAAAACAGTGTGGCACTGGCATAAGGACAGACATATAGACCAATGGAATAGAAGAGAAAGCCCAGAAATAAACCCTCGCATACATGGTCCAATGATTTTCGACAAGGGTGCTAAGGCCGTTCAATGGGGAAAGGATGGTCTTTTCAACAAATGGTGCTAGGAAAACTGAACATCCACACACAAAAGAATGAAGCTGAACCCTTTCCTTACACTATACATAAAAAATAACTCTAAATGGATCAGACTTAAATGCAAGACCTAAAACTATAAAATTCTTCAAAGAAAACATAGGGCAAAAGCTTCATGACACTGGATTTGGCAATGATTTCTTCGACATAATACCAAAAGCCCGGGTAACAAAAGAAAAATAGATAAATTAGACTTCATAAAAATTTAAAACTTTTGTGCATAAAAGACACTATCAAGAGAGTGAAAAGACAGTCACAGAATTGGAGATGTTTTCAAAGAATATATCTGATAAGGGATTAATATCCAGAATATGTAAAAAACTCCTACAACTCAACATCAATAGCAAGAAAACAAACAACTCGATTAAAATATAACCAAAGGACTTGAGAGTTTCTCCAAAGAAGATATGCAAATGGTCAGTAGGCACTAAAAAGATGCTCAACATCATTTGTCATTAGGGAAATGCAAATCAAAACCACAGTGAGCTACCACTCCACACTCATTAGGATAGCTATTATTTAAAAATATGGAAAATAACAAGTATTGGTGAGAAAGTAGAGAAATCAGAACACACATACATTGCTGGTGGGAATACAAAATGGTACAGACTCTGTGGAAAACAATTTGGTGGTTCCTCAAAAAGTTAAATATATGATCCAGTAATCCCACTCCTAGGTATATACCCAAAAGAACTGAAAGCAGGGACTCAAATAGACACTTGTACACCAATGTTCATAGCAGTGGTATTCACAATAGCCAAAAGGTAGTGACAACCTAAGTGTCCATCACCAGATGAATGGATAAAAAAATGTGGTATATCCATACAATGGAATATTTTGTTGTTGTTAGTGCCATCGAGTGGGTTCTGACTCCTAGCAACCCTGGGTACAGCAGAGTGGAGCTCTGCCCAGTCTTTTTGTGCCATCCTCTCACCTTCCGGTGCTATATCAGATAATGCTCTGCTGCTTTTCATAGGGTTTTCATGGCCAATTTTTTCGGAAGTGGGTGGCCAGGTTCTTCTTCTTAGTCTGTCTTAGTCTGGAATCTCTGCTGAAACCTGTCCACTATGGGTGACCCTGCTAGTATTTGAAATCCCAGTGGCATAGCTTTCAGCATCACAGCCACATGCAGCCACCACAGTATGACAACCGACAGACAGATGGTGTGGTTCTCTGACTGGGAAATGAACCCAGGCTGGGGTGGTGAGAGCATCAAATCTTAACCACTAGACCACCAGGGCTGGATAATGGAGTATTATTCAGCCATAAAAAGGAATGAAGTTCTGACACATGCTACAACATGGATGAACCTTGAAAAAATTATGCTAAGTGAAATAAGCCAAACACAAAAATACAAATATTGTATGATTCCACTTATATGAGGTACCTAGAACAGTCAAATTCATACAGACAGAAAGTATAACAGAGGTTACAGGAGATGGGGGGTAAAATGGTGAGTTATTGCTAAATGGGTACAGAGCTTCTGTTTTGCATGATGAAGTAGTTCTGGAAATGCAAAGTGATGATGGTTGCCCAACACTGTAAATGTATTTAATGCCACTGAATTGTACTCTTAAAAGTGGTTAAAAAAGAAAAAGCCCCCACAGTCCAAATTCATTCTGGCATTCTTAAAAGCATATTTCACACATAATAAAGTATCACCTAGGATAGTGCTGGTCAAATACGGTGCTAAATATTATGGCCTAGAAT